CGTGCAGAAGAATGAACCAGGGAAATATGGCACAAGTTTTAAGGGGGCACATCTATTTTGATGCATCTGACTAGGACATTCTGAAGTGTTAACCTAGAGAGCAGACAGGTGCCTGGGAATGGCTGTCATGGTATAAGTGTGGTAGGAAAAGAGTCACAACCTAAACACTCTACTAATTCAGTGCTCAAATTTTTTATATGTAAGGTCAATATGACCACAATATTTGTCACTTTAATAATCACCTAAATTGAGCCAGCAAAAATGGCAGCTTAAATGGGGAACTTCTTTCTCTTTCATCCAGTGGGCCACAGGAAAACTTCTCATGCTAGAGGAGAGCTTTCCTGATAAAGATACTCTGTTCTCAGTCAAGGGTAACCAAATAAGAATAGACCTCTATTGATATTCCCAAGGCAAGAAGTGTTGTTTGGTCTCTCCCTTCCTCTGTGTTCTATCCTAGCACTCATGGACAGTCGGTGCTCAGGACTTGGTCTGGCTGATCATCTCACCAATGGTGGAAATACTGGTGGGGAATGTTGGGGCAGAGGTATACTTTACTTAGGAATTATTTCCTAGTATACATAGAGCACCACTACTTGTCTGTCCGGTTGTCATACTGAGGTGGCTTGTGTGTTGCTCTGATTCTGGAATCTATGCCACCAGTATTTCAAATACCAGCAGGGTCACCCATGGTAGACAAGTTTCAGTGGAGCTTCCAGATTAAGACAGACTAGGAAGAAAGGGCTGGCAATCTACTTACAAAAATTAGCCAATGAAAATCTTATGGATCACAAGAGAACACTGTCTAACTGGCTTGCTTTGGACACGTCATTGGGGGGATCAATCGCTGGAGGAGGACATCGTATTTGGTGAAGCAAAGGGTTAGCAAGGACGAGGCAGACTGTTAGTGTGACGGGTTGGCACAATAATGGCGACAACGGACTCGACCATGTCAGTGATTGTGATGATGGCGCAGGACCTGGCAACGTTTAGTTCTGTTGTACACAGGCCGTTATCAGTCGGAGTTGACTTGACAGCACTAACAACGACAACATACACAGAGCAGAGCAGGGGTGGAGGAGCACAGGTGTTAAGGACAGTAACCTCGACCTTATCTAAAATATTGCCTTCACTATCTTCATCTTGTTCGCTCATCTCATGGTGTTTTGGCCATGTATTCAGCAATTTAGCTTCAACTCAACATAGATGCAAGAGGTAAAGTGATAAGAGTGTGGCAGCAGAAATCTGGAAACCCAAGGACAATCCTTGCCTCTCTGGCAAATTCCACATTTCTGTTTACTGTTACAGAGAACCCAAAACCTGGCACTGTCGAGTCAATTCTGACTCATAGCAACTCTATAGGACAGAGTAGAACTGTCCCATAGGGTTTCCAAGGAGTGGCTGGTGGATTCGAACTGCTGACCTTTTGGTTAGCAGTCAAACTCTTAACCACTGCACCACCAGGGCTCCACTCTTATAGAGAAAACATTTCTATTCCAAACAGTGAAAGGGACACTGCTCCTTCCTGGAGGGACTTGGAGACATGGGGCAGAACGCATGAAGTAAAGGTGGCTGTGGGTCTCACAATTTTCTCTTCCTGTGACCAGGAGAAATTTGGGAGCTGGAAGGCTTGGGCTGTGTGTGAAAGCCCCAACATCACAACAACACTGCCTTATCAGCTCACAGACTTAATGCACTAGTGACCAAAAACCAAGGAAACCCATTGCCGCCAATTCCGACTCATAGCGACGCTATAGGACACAGCAGAACTGCCCCATAGAGTTTCCAAGGAGCACCTGGTGGATTTGAACTGCCAACCTTTTGGTTAACAGCCATAGCTCCTAACCACTATGCCACCAGGTTTCCAGCAGTGGTGACAAAGTCTGTCTATTTGTGCTGGGCCACAAGTTGAAAATATCAAGACACAGCACTGCAGTTGAAAAAGCAAAAGTCAACATACTCTTAAGGACTTTCCTATTGTTTTTGTGATATTTTGTTGTTGTTGTTTTTGGAGGTGAGGTAGGGAGGGGAGGTTGGGAAAAATGAATAGGGTTCCAGAGAAAAGCCTGAAGAACCACATGTTTGGGTATTAGGAACAAGGATGAGTCCTCATTAAGAAGGCCCAGTTGGCTGAAAAGCCCAGACACGAAGGGTATCACCAGAGAACAAGATGCAGACCTAGTGAGATGATTGCTCCATCACCTGCCTAATATTCTTGGGAGAACTTGGTTTGCTAAAGTGGGCTGGGGAAGAGTAATGTCGCTTACTCTTGTAAATTCATAAAACTCTCTGGTCAGCTCTAGGGGAGTTAAGGGCAGGGAACTAAGCCCAGACTATGATTCACTATCTTAAGGACAAAAGGGCAAAAATGAACTTTGATGCTAACTGAACATTGAAATATTTCTGGCAGGTGTGTGGAGGATCCAGATTAACGACCAAGTTACCTGCAAAGTAATTTAGGGATTTCCTACTAGAAGCATGGAAAAATGCAAATTCTCAGAAGGGGGAATGCAGAATTCCCTTCTCTGGGGCTAAAAGAGTGGTTGGGGTTGGCTGGGGGAAAGAATGGTGTGGTCTCTCTCTGCAGCTCTGCTTTTGGAGACCCTGAGCTGCAGCTGTTGAATTTCCAGACACAAACAAGTATGCATTCTGTGAGTCTTGCCGAGCCCACACAGCAAGGACAGCCAAGTGGGATTCCATTCTGCTTTGCACATCAGCAGCTCGGCTGCCAGCTAAACTCTAGGCAAGATCCATGACTGGAGATGATGCAGGCAATGGGGAGAAGGAGATAAAAAGTGTCAGAAACATACGTCAGCCTCATCAAAACTGGTGTGCAGCAAGGAGTTGGTTTTACTAGCAGTCAGCAGCATGCCTGTGTGTGTGCTTGTTTATGTGAAGTCCAGTCTCCCACTCAACAGAGTAGGCAAATGGGGCAAGTGGTCAACTCTGTGTCAACTGCCACCGAGTAGAGCTGTGCAGTGGGCTTACCGCACAAAGGCGACCAGCCAAATGGGGAGCAAGGGGCTGAAATCCCCCGTGTCTCCCTTTGTGCCCCCAAGGGTCGGAGTCCTCCCAGAGGGGCCCAAAATCCAGTTGCCATCAAGCTGATTTTGACTCATAGTGACCCCATGTCTGTCAGAGTAGAACTGTGCTCCATAGGGTTTCCAATGGCTGATTTTTCAGAAGTAAATGGCCAGACCTTTCTTCCAAAATACCTCTGGGTGGACTCAAACCCCAACCTTTCAGTTAGCAGTCAAATGCGTTGATCATTTGTACAATCCAGGGGATCCCCCAGAGGGACACCTTTGTCTAATTCACAAGGGCTCCGTATAGCGTTTTTCTGCCCATATCACCATATACTTGAAGGGGTCCTGAAAGAAAGCTAAAGCGAAGGACGAAGGGGTCAAGGTGATGGAAAAAGGGAAGACGCAAATTTAGAACTTCTCCTTCTTTTGCTAGAATGTCATTTCTTGATGTTGTCTGTTTCTTATCCATCTGTGACCAAGGACTAAGTTCTCACCACACCAGACCATATGGGAGACTGAGCCAGAGAGTTCCTCTGAGCCCAGGAGATGAGGAGAAGGGAAGTCAAATACTGGAATTTTGGAACTCTCGGGTAGACTCAGGTGGCTGGGGGAATGTCATTCTGGGTAATTTGGGCTCTGATTGGGATGGTTGCAAGTTGCTTGGGCCCAAAGAGTTGTGGATGAAATTTGGTGTGGGCCAGAATGGAGAGAAGGAAGGATCTGCGGGTACTGGGATGATGTTACTTAGATCCAGGGTTAGAACTCCCATGATGCTAAGAGGATCTTGTGCCTCAGGCTCAAATAAACAAGTCTGACCAGCATGTAACAGTGATGACGGGGAGGCATGCATACATAGTGGACTAGTACCTTCTCAGGAAGAGTAAGCACAGAAGCGTCCCACAACCACTGTTTCCTCTGACGTGGAAATTTCCTCTAGAGCAGTGGTCCTCAAAGTGTGGTCCCCAAACCAGCTGCAAACCTGGGAACTTGTGAGAAAGACACATTCCCAGGCCCCACCCACTCAGTCAGAAACTCTCTGGGGGCGGGGGGCACAATCTGTGTTTTAACAAGCCCTCCCGGTGCTCCTGATGTGGCTGGTTTCGGGTCCACAAGAGGTGGTTGAGATACAACAAATGAGAAGTTGCCCAAACGACCTGGACTCAGCAGACATACGGGAACACAAAGCAGCTTTCTTATCTACTGTGGAGCAAGGCCTGAAAAGCCTCAGTCAGGCTAGCTGCCAGCCTTCCTGTGAGCGTTCAAGGCCAGCTGACTTAGACTGGTCTCCATCCTTGAGCTCTACGTCCCCTACCCTTTCCAAAGAAATCCAGAAGCAGACCAGAGCAGGGCATTAGCACAAGATCACACTTTAGTTCTGAGACACAATTGCATAAATACTTGAAATGGATCCATCCCTGCAGGTGGGTGCCTGAGAAGGTCTGGCTCCCCACAAGCCTGCAACCCTGGAGCCCTTTAGGTAGTGGATTTTAATACTGAAGACAGTCATCGTTGTTTTTAACAGACAGCCTAGGGGCTGCAGCTATGGTGCGCGCTCTGAGAATCACCACACAGCCCCTCTCCCCACACTTCTCTGTTACTAATTTTTTCCCCTCTGAGGTAGATTATTTACCGGGGGATCCAAATCAAAAATCTTTTTCCCATTTATGTTGGCTAGTCCTTTGCAAACAGGCTGACTTGGAGTCTCCTGTTTGGGTCAATAAGTGCACTTTTTACCTTTTAACCTATGCCCCTTACGTGAACCCAAGCAAGGTCCAATGGACTAGTAGTCCCTTTAGGATCTGTCTCGTCCATCCCCTCTCCTCCTCGCCCTTATGAGTTCATGCCGTACTCAGGGGCTGTGGCAATGGAAGGTCTGGGCAGGCCACACCACCTCGATATGGAGGATCACATGGTGGTGACACCTGTCTGTACCCCGATGCCCCAAGTCAATGAGCATGCTGGTCCCTGCCCTCTGGCTCACAGGGGGCATGGGTGGCTTCCACAGGGCTTGGTATCCTCAGGTTTAAGAGCCTTGTTGCAGGTGGCTGACGCCTGGCCCGTAGGGTCCCAGCACTCCACAGTCCGCTGCTGCCAGCCAGCCCCGCAGGTCCTGGAGCACTCAGACCACTCCCCCAGGACCCACTGTGCACTGAGCAGGGGCTGGATGATATTGGTGGTGGCTTTCTCCTTGCTGTTCTGCGTGCTGAAGTTCACGTCATTAGGAACGAAGAAGGTGTACTTGACTTTGGGGGGAAAGAGTTCACCGGGGACTGTCAGGAGCTGCACAGTCAGAGTCTCAGGAAGGGGCTGGAAGCTCTGCAGCCGCTCCAGGGTGGCAATGGAGCCACTGTACTTAAGGATGGTCCCCTTAATCAAGATGTCCTGTTCCATGGCAGAGATGGCCAGGTTCCCATTGAGCAGGTATCGCCCATCGGAGGTCTTCACTGCCAGGTAGTTACCGTCATTCTGCACCCCAGGGAGGCTCCGCTGTTTCACATCAATGTTCGTGGCACCAGCTGGGATGGTGACGATGTCATTATAGCCATAACTGCAATAGGAACAGAAAGGCAACCTCAGGACCAGAGGTTACACAGCCTGGGGCATGATGGTACCTTGGGGAGTTAGCATGCTCACGGCTGGGGCTGGGACAGAAGCAATCAGCAAATAATTATGCGATTGCTCTCAAAGCTCTAAGTAAATTATCTGATGAGGCAGACAGGAGTGTGTTGTACATTGGGATTTTCAAGGGCTTTTATTTCGTCTGGCAACTTTATTTCAAATGTTTTGGCTGAAGAGTTAGATATGTGTGTCCTGACAACAGCCCAGAGAGGAGAAGCCCAGAGGGGGTTGAAGACCTGCATCCGTAATGCCAGACCTGCCACCTCTTGGCTGAAAGGAGATCTTATGTACGTTCAGGTCCTTGCACTGTTATAAAACTTTGCATAGCCGCCTTCACCCACAGAGCTCAAACCCATGTGGAAAATCTGTTCCACAGACCCCTCCCCTATTGTTGTTAGCTGCCACCAAGCTGGTCCCTGACTCAGGGGATCAGACCATTGTGATCCACAGGGTTTTCACTGGCTGATTTTTGACGCAGAATGCCAGGCTTTTCTTCCTAGTCTATCTTAGCCTGGAAGCTGTGCTGAAACCCATTTAGCATCACAGCAACATGCAACCCCTCTGGCAGACGGGTGATGACTCCAGAAGCCTACGAGGATGGAAATCTCATTCCACCTCTTTGAATTCATCAGCTACTAGTATTGGATGGCTCCCATTTGTTTAGTATGGCCCTAGGGCAGGAACTAGGGATAAAAACTGGCTTCTCACAACCTTCTTCTGGGGGTGGTCAGCACACCATGAGCTGTGTGCTTCTGGACTGATATGACACTGTCTTGGGAAATGTTTCCCCTCTATTGTAGGCATAGGGCTTTATGTGGGGTGGAGAAATCTTTGTTCCTCTCTTCTCGGGGGAACGTGTTGGGGTTACATAGGGTGGGGAGAAAGTGGAGAGCACTGAGGAGGTGAGTCAGACTGGTTCTTTGCTCTTCTTGCCTTATTCCCAGCTGGGGCTAGCTGCTTGTCCAGGGCAGCTGTGAGAGTACCTACAGGCCCATATGTCTGATGCCCAAGAGAAATCAGGCTAAGGGGCCCATTATCTGAATAGCCCAGGCTTTTTTTTTTTTTTTTTAACCCTCTCTCCTTTGAGTTTAAATTTGAAGACTCTCAATTTGTCTTCTGTAGGCAGATTGTGTTCTCTGAGCCCAGCGAGATAACAGTGACAGAGAGAGAGAGAGAAGAGAGAGACGGGGGTGGGGGGTGTGGGAAGAAAGGAGAGGGGAAGTGGGGGGAGAGAGGGAGAGGCAGGAGAGAGAGAAAGAGAGGAGAAAGGAGAGAGGAGAGAGAGAGAGAGAATGGGGCAGGGTGGGGACAAGTGTTCCCCAGGTAGGATACTAAGTAACTAAATGCTTTTCAAAAACTCTGAAGGACTGCAGGTGGGAAGAATGGGAGGAGGGGTGGAGGCTCCTGTAGTCCCCAGAAGGACAAATACATGTATCAGATGCCAGAATGGCAGAGTGTAGACCATATGAGACACCTAGCTTTGCTTAGTCTTCAAGAAGTTGCACAAGATGGCAGAAAAAAAATGGTGCAGGAGTTAAGAAACCTGGGTTCTCCTTCTGGCTCTGTCATTAGCTATCAATGCAACCTTAGAAGAGTCACTTCGTCTTTGGTGCCTTAGTTTCTTCATCTGTAAAATGGGAATAATAATATTAGCCTTTCCTACCTCATAGAATTCTCTTAGGAGGTGAAAGTGCTTTGGAAAATACTAAGGGCTGTAGGAACGTGGGGCAGGAGGATGTGAGAGAAGCGTCTGGAGTTCTTGGATTCATCAAAGCACTGAGGCCACTGACGCCCCTTCACTGTACCCCCTTTTCTGAAGACCCACCACAGAAAGGACAGGACTTGCCAGGTGTACAGTGAGATATCCTTCCCAAAACAGGCTCGGAAGAGCTGCTTTCTGGCAAAGGGCCAGCATACTCAGGGAAGCTCACTGCCAACTGATTCAGAGACAATACACCCCTACCCGTGTGGCCTTGAGCACTACTGAAAATAACTGCTCTCTGCCCTGAGTCCTTTCCAGGGGTTCCGTGCTAAGGGCTCTACACATACTATTTCATGAAATCCTTACGGTGACTCTGAAACAGAGATGACTGAAGATATTCTGTAAGGAAACTGAAGCTCAGGGAGTTTAAATTACATAGCCAGTAAGTGGCAGCCACATTTCAAACTTAAGTCCATCCGATCCCAAAGCCTGGGCTCTTATCCATTATGATCTTTAACCTAGGAATGGAACTACTGGCGGACTCACTTGGAGGGGTTGAGTGAACCAGAGACCTTCCTGCATGAGTTGCCTTTGCCCCCACACACCCCACACTTGTCCAGCTTCCTGGGCGAGTCCACTACGTGGTCACAGCCAGCCTTGACACACTGGCCACGGACACAGATGGCCAACGTCTCTGGCCCACAGAGGGTGCCGTCGATCACCTGGAGTCGGGTAAGAAAGATGAGAGAGGGCACTGGTGAGCCCGGCAGCAGCCCCCAGGTGGCTGGGGACAGGTGACTTTCCTCCCCTCCTCGCTTCTGGGCTTCAGGAGTTGTCTTACTTTGGCCTCAAACACCTTGAACTCGCTCCTCCCTCGGGCTCGGCAGAACAGCTTGCAGCGGTCCCGGGGCGACACCCCTGCGTACTTGGGGACCCACTGCAGGAGATTCCCATCCATGTCAGTGTAGTTGTAGGCATTGTACTTCTCACACTGCTGCTCCCTGAAGCTTTTCCCTAAGAAGAGGCGGAGACAGACAGAGGTAATACCACGCGGAAGCGGGGGTAGGGTACAGAAAGCAGGGAGGACCCAGGGCACCTCTCTTCCTCTTGGTTTTGGACCTAATCTAAGACACAGATCCACGGTCATCTGGGCCCAACTTCCCTGGACATACCCTGACCCAGATCCAGGTGTGATTCTTCCTCAAAGGGGCAAGAAAAGGAGGCATCCAGCCTCAGGGCTGAGCTTTCTGCAATGTTTCGGGAGCGTCATTAACTCCATTCTACAGAAGAACAAAGTTGTGTGCGGACAAGGAGCAATTCAGTGTGCAGAAGGCACAGCATGAAGCATGTTTTATCTTGACTTCCTTGGTGACACTGAACATGTGGCCAGAGACTCTCAAATCTGCACCTTTATCTATGATTTGACCCTTATACCCCATTTTCTGTAACTCTGGGTGTCTATGGAGGAACTGGGACCCCTACATGGTGCAAATGGTCAACGTGCTTAGCTGTTAACTGAAAGGCTGGAGGTTTGAGTCCACTCAGAGGTATGTCAGAAGAAAGTCCTGGCGATCTACTTCCAAAAAATCAGCCACTGAAAACCCTATGGAGCACGGTTCTACTGTGACACACATGGGGTCGTTATGAGCGGGAGTTGACTTAACGGCAACTTTTTTTTTTTAAATGGGGGAGCCCCATTTGTATGCACTGCTGTTACCTCCAACTTAGCAAGACCCAAACCATACAGTCCCTCTGGTAACTGTTCCGTTTTCACTGTGGGGTACTACCATTATTCCGGTCCAAGACTGGAATTCCTGGTGTCTTCTAAAACACGTAAACTTCTCTAGGTGCACAAATGTTTAAGCAGTTGACTCCTAATGGAAAGGCTGGTGGTTTGAACCCACCCAATGGCTCTGCTGGAGAAAGGCCCAGTGATGGGCTTCTGTAAAGATTACAACCAAGAAAACCCTATGAGACAGTTCTACTCAGTCCCATGGGGTCGCTATGATTTGGAATCAACTTGACAGCACCCAATACCAACAATCCACTTTTCCCAGTCTGTCATGAAGTCATACTGAGGACAATTTATAAATTAAGATGTCTGCATCCCGCTCTCACCATCTTAGTCCATTCCTACAAGCCTAGGCCTGTGGCTTCACACAGGACTTAGCGCTCAGCCTCCTAACAGAGTCTGCCTCTTATTTAATCTTGCTACAAGCTGCTTCCAAAGCCAATCTGTCTGAAATAAGACTTGGGCTTTTGTGCACACTCCTGTAATTAAACACAGTCTTACTGCAGAGCTTCTCGGCCCCAGCTGTACCTCTGAATGACCTGTGGAGGTTTTTCAAAACACAGATGGCTGGAGATTCTGATTCTGGGCATCTGAGATACGCTTGGGGCCTCTGTGTTTGAAAAGCTCACCAGGTGACTTGACATCCAGGATGGAGAATCTCCAAATACGCTTTCAGCTTGCAAGAACTTTTATTGTCCAGCCTTGAAATGCTGCTTTACTCCACCTAAGCTAATCATAAAAAAACCCAAAAAAACTGTTGCCATCAAGTTGACTCCGACTAGCAGCAACCTCACATATGTGAGAGTAGACATGTGCTCTACAGGGTTTTCAATAGCTGAGTTTTCAGGAGTAGATTGCCAGGGCTTTCTTCTGAGGTGCCTCTGGGTAGGCTCAAACTGCCAAACTTTTGGTTAGCATCTGAGCAAGTTAACTGTTTGCACCACCCAGGGACCCCGAGCTAATCACCCTTCTCAAACCTTTCCCTCCATCCTGGAATGCCCTCCCCTCACTTCTTCACCCTCTCTATCCTTCTAGGTCCTGCTTGGTTCTAACTCTCCCTCGAAGCTTCTGACTAGCCTGGGCTTTTCCTTTCTCTGAATGCCTTATAAATCTAGGGTCTGTGCCACGTAGTTAAGCCTTAATTGCTGGGTGAAGGGGCTTGTGGCTCTAATCAGACTGCAAGCTCCCTGGGGGACAGAGGCCGTGCTTTGTACACCTATATCATTTATAACATTGATCACAGGTCTAGATACAGAAAGGGTACTAAGAGACCTTGGTGATTGAAATGGTTGATCCTGATGCATGTGAAATCCTGATATCACCCATTGCCCATGCCTACCTTCTACCTTGTATTCATTCCCGCCACCCCCATCTTGCTGAGAGGACCAGGCACACTTCACCCTGGATGCCAGGCAAACTCTGACAATTCCAGGGCACACTTTCTAAAGCCTCATGCCACTGCTGATCCTTCCCATTTTGCAAAACCGCAAAGCCTACAGATTCCCATATTAGACACCAACCCAACGCCAGTTTGTCTCTGCACTTGAATGAATCTTAAGGCGCTGCTTGTCTTTTCATGCCTGCTAATGCTCGTGGAGCTCCACAAAGGGAGCTGGAGGGGATGGGGAGGGAAAAACGTCCAATAAGCCCCTCTCATGAATTATTCTGCTGCCCGTACTGCTTCAAGCTAATGCGTGTGCTTTCCAGCAGGTAGCTGGGGTAGGAATATTCCATGGGGAGGTAGAGAGAGGGTTGCCTCCTGGGAAGGTTCAGTAGGGCAGTTGCCATGGCCCCAGGGGACGACGGGCAACTCTTCTCAGAAGGAATGTGCACAGGAATCATATTCAGAAATCCTCCCACCACCCTGTGCTGAATGTTGGCTGGAACAACGTCGGAGGTTTGGCTCTGAACTCGCTTTGGAAAACGCTTCCATCCTACACGCAGATGAGGATTCAGATGCCTCCAGGCGGATTATTATCCTAGACTCTAGCCCCTCTGCAAAGGCCCCTCCCGAGAGGGAGGGCATCCTCTGTCTCCACACTTGGCAGACAAGGGGACCTTCTCTCCTTGACTTTCTCAGGCTCTCCCACACAATGACAACTGTCCGGGGTCCCTAAAGGCTGCCCCTATCCTTGGTGCCTTGCAGCACCCATTTGTGTATGGATCACAGGCAAAACTGCACCTCAGGAGACCCACCCTACTCCTCCTCTGGGGATCTGTCACAGCAACAGCTGCGGCTGCTCGGGCAGGTGTTGCTGTGTGGCCATTACCATTGGGCAGGCACTCCTCTGTGCGGCATGACCGGTACTTAGCTCTCTGACCCAGGCAGTATCTTCCTCCGTTCTGAGGCTCAGGGTCCTTGCACTCACGGTAGGAAAACTGAACTCCTCCTCCACAGGTGCGGGAACATTCTCCCCAGGGTCCCCATGGGGCCCAGGTGCCATGCACCACAGCCTGCAACACACAACACCGCACTGAGTCAGGAGCTGCGGCGAGGAGGCATCGGTTCTCTGCCTAGTCAGGAGGCGCTGACCGGGTTTCTTCACCTAGTTATTCTCACCTCGGTGCCTGGAGTCCAGTCAACTGCCCAGTCACCTGTTCAATGACTGTGTGGCCTCTGGCCACTGAGACTGGGCAAGGCTTGCTCTCTGCTGACTCTCAAACAGTCCTTGTCCTTACTAAGGTACTCAGTGTGACACTGGCTGAATGAATGGACGAATGTAACTCTTTTACCGGAGTAAGGTTGGTCTAATGTAGGGCTGCTTTCCTCCCCCTGGGGATATCTGGCAATGTCTGGAGAGAAACAGAGTTGCTTCTAATTTTACAACTGACCTATCAGAACAAAGCTCTGCCCTTGGTAGATTCATATATTTTTAAAAGTGAAAATGATTTGTTAAAAATTATAAAAATAATGCTTTCCAACAGGGTGAATGTAATCGATGTCACTGACTTGTACATGGAAAAAAAATGTTGAATTGACAAACGTTTTGTTATATATATTTTTACCACAATAAAACAATTAAAAAATAAGTAAGGCTTCCTCATATAAAAAGTGCAAAACACAGAAAACTATAAAAAAAAACTTTTAAAAAATACCACCACCCGGATAAAACTACTGGCATGATTTTTGTCACTGTTTTTTTATACTTTTTCTATGACTATATAATCATCTTTTCTTAACAAAGATATGATTCTATCACATATATAATGTTTTGTGATCTGCCTTCTCTCCTTCAGAATGCATTGTAAGCATCATTCCAACCTCTCCCTGCCCGTGTTATGGCTCTGCTGTGGAGGCTGTTGGGTGAAGAGTGGGTAGGCCAGATGAGCCCAGTGTCTGACAGGGAGGGAGGCTGGGAGGGGGCTGAGGATGACCCCTGCCCCAGCTCAGGCTTAGAAGAAGAGTATAGAAGAAGGGTGTGGTTTGCCCTGCCCATGAAGGCTCCTGGGGTGCAATTCAGAAGACATCCTACTAGGCCAGGCCTCTGGAGTGCCAGGCTACCCTGGAGATTCATGCTGGGCTGGGACCAGCCTGGGAAACAGCAGGATGCTGCTTCATAGTGATGGCTCAGTGATGCGGGAGAGAAATTCCATCAGCCTCACACGTGGAGTGTTAGGAGCAGGGCAGAGAGAAGCCCTCACTGACTTTTCTTGCACATTGACTCTGCACTGCGCCAAGTTTCTCTGCCTGGTTAGGGGCAGCTCTGATTCCTTCTCCACCTCTCCACCTTGAGTATGGAATCCTCACCGCTACTCTCATCCTCCACTCCCATCTCTCCTTAGGAACTCAGCTCCCGCATAGGTAGGATATGAACACTTCTCGCTCAGTTCTTAATGTTCCTTTCTGGTCGTCGCTCTATCTGTTAATGACAGAGTTAATAATGGCTTCCACTTACTGAGGGCCCATGTTCTAGTCTCTGTGCCAGAGTTTTCCACACGTTATCAACAAGCCTTAAAGGCAACTCCCAAGCATTTTTAAAGGGGAAGTTACCAAAATGCCTGGAAGACGAGCAGCATCCCTCTTTTGACTAGGAGTACAGATTCTAATCTTTTGGATAAATAAGCTTTAGTTTGTTTGTTAAAAGATTAGTGATATGACGACGGTCATACCGAAAACTCATACCCGACGTCTCTTAGTTCCCGACTTGCAACTATCGTTTCTGGCTTGAAAACGGCCTCCCTCCCCACTGCCGCCCCACTGGCGCCCCCTGGCTGCCGCTCACCTGGGGCTTCTCCACTTCCTCCTCTGGCAGACAGCTGCCGTCCCAGCAGCGGTGCCCGGGCCCACAGGGCGTCCCATCCACCCAGGGCAGGCTGCCGTTCTTGGTGTGGCACAGGGGCTCAGTGCCCTCGGCGTGGCACCACAACTGGGCGCAGATGTCCTGTGCAGAGGTGTTGGGGCAGTGGCGGAAGCCAGGCCCAAAGATCTGCTTGCACTGTTGGTCCAGTGTATAGAGGGCCTTGTGGCCCGGGAGGTCTGTCGGGAGGGGCAGCGGCGAGGTGGGGGCATCCAGGAGGCAGTCTCCTGAGAGATGGCGGAAGAGAGGATGAGAATAAGGGGCGGGATCTGCCTCTCTCTGGAGCCTCCCACCTCACACTAGAATTCCTAGCGATGGGATGGAAGGCCTAGACATCACAGTTCCCTTGACAGCAATCTAAACACTGTCCACACTCCAGCATCCACATAGAGCTGATCCGATGTTCTATTATCAGTAGGACTGACTTTCTTCTGTCATCAAGAACATCTAGGGTGCATTTTCCCCTGCCCGCTCAGTGAGCACGAAGGGAATACAGCTAGCGGTCACATGAACTAAAAAACCCCAAACCAAACCAGATACCATCAAGTCGATTCTGAATCATGGCGACTCCATGCATGCAGAGGAGGACGGCTCCATAGGGTTTTTAAGGGTGTGACCATTCAGAAGCAGACTGCCACCTGAGGTGCCTCTGAGTGGGTTCGAAGCGCCAACCTTCCATTAGGAGTCAAGCACTTAACTGCGTGCGCCACCCAAGGACTCCATATTAATCTAGCTCACCCTATAATTGGGTACATAAATCTGTGCTTACAAATCCTGCCATGCAAAATACAGCCAAAGTATCGACGTCTGGATAATCTCATATTTTTGCACACATGTACCTGTCTTCTTCAATGGGAAGAATCAAGAATAAGTTGTGTCTTCACTGTCTCACTCAACAGTTCAAACTGTTTTATGCAGGCAAACCACCTCCCTACCCCCATCTACCCCTCACTGTCACACAATTGCTCATCAACACTTTGCCACCTCTGAGCTATCACACTGCTATCACTCCAGCCTGGGAACATTTTCTCCTCTCCTCTGTACTACAACGTTCTTCCATTTCTTCAAGGTCTGCTCAAACTCACCTCCTCCAGACAGCCTTCTCAGATGACTCCACCCAGCTTTGTGACTAACAGCCTTTAGATAGCCCGAATGAGGCTGCTGGAAGATGGGGACGGAGGAGCACGCTGTGGGGGGATGGTTAGTATGCTAGAGCACGGAGGTGGGGGGAGGACATATCTCTGAAATCTCTTCTAACCCTAAATGTCTCAGATGCTTGTGATAAGGTGCTGAGGACGTATTTCCCTGAGTCAGCAGAGGCACCAGCCGGGGCCAGAGCTCAGCTGTGGCAGCGGAGGGGAGAGGGGACTCCGGGGATGTCTACCGTGGCCGCTGTCCAGGAACTCTGTGATGTACATGGCGCTGCAGGGAGACCAGGGCAGGGTCTTGTTGAGGTGGACGAAGAGTGGCGCCATCATGTGGTGCTTGTCCATGGGCCCGAAGAGCCGCTCGCAGGGCTTGGAGTCATCGTGGGGCATGCTGAGGACGTGCCCTGGGGGGAGAGAGACCCGGTTCTCCTCTGCTCCTCTCCAGCATGGCGTGCTTCCCCCAGGGCCCAGCTTTACGTAGGAGAAAGCCAAACCAGTAAACTAAACCAGACTCATGGCGACCCCGTGTGTCAGAGTAGAACTGTTCTCCACAGGGTTTTCAATGCTGATTTTTCAGAACCAGATCACCAGGCTTTTCTTCTGAGGCATCTCTGGGTGGACCGGAACCACCAATCTTTCAGTTAGCAGCTGAGTGGGTTAGCCATTTGCACCATCTAGAGACGCCAGGAGAGAGGCAGGCTGCTAACACTGAAGTGCCAACCGGTCACCAAGTCCACATGGGAAAGGTCGCCCCTCACTCCCTTATGATTTGTCTTTCAGGCTTTACTCTTCTAAGCAGCTTTCTTGGATTACTGACAAACACTGATCTCCCCGTTTTCCGCCTCAGCCTGTCCTAAATCCACACTCAACTCTATTCTTTGCTCTTATATGTGACACTCTCCTTACACTGATCTTCTAAGGAACCTTACTGCTTAGCTTGCACACAGCAGCACTTTACCCAAGATCTGGTGTGTATTTTGCCATTTTCCAGGTGACCTTTTGGGAGGGTCCAGGACAACATCTTACTATTTTGGCTGTGAGCTCAAGGCAGGGTTGGGGTCAAGTCCACTCCCTCTGTGCAACGTCCAGCTCGGGATCTACATGCAGGCAGACACTCTGTCAAAATCATGAGGGGGTAATGGCTAAGAGTAAGGGCTGCATGTGCCTCAGAACCTGGGTCATCTGGATTCGGAAGAGGAGTTGCCTGGCATGATAAAGAAGGCTTTGACCTGGCAAATCTCACCTAGCTCATGGGCCAGCGTGTAGGCTGCCTGGAGCCCCTCGTCCTCGATCACAGAGCAGCTCTTGTTGGGGTCACAGATTGTACCAATGTCCGCCACACCCAGGGTGTCACACATGCCCTCCTTGCCGCAGAAGTTCTGTTTGGTGGAGAGAGTGAGAGAGAGCGGGCGACAGCGTGAGTGTAGTGTGGGCAGGCAGCCAGCCCCCGGGAAGGGAGAGAGGTGCCAGCGTCCGTAAGTGTGGAACTTCATACTTGAACGTTCTGTAAGGCGTTACTCTGGTGTCACCTGTGCTAGTTAGCTTTTTTTAAGGTGAGAGAAACAGCAGTAGGATTCAACATGTCTGGATATTCGACCCAGTGGCCCGGCGCTATGGGCACTTGTGTGTCTTGATTGCAGACTTTGGTCAAGCCATCCCCGTCTTTCTGACTTGGAGAGTGACCCGTGAAACCCACCTATGTTAAAAGCCAACCCCCCAAACAACACAACACAAAGGCTATCAAGGTGGGTGTCTGAGTGACACAGAACAGAAGACCTTCCTATTTCTGCTCCGGAGTTGAAGGGACTTTTAAAGCCAGACTCACTCTTCACAAAGGCCACTCAAGCAAGGACTTCCCCGTTTCTCTATGTTGGCCGTGTCCTGGGGCTCGAAGGGCTTCAGAAGGTTGTTCTCAGAGGCAGGATGGCATGGTGGCCCAGAACACAGACTCGCGGCAAGCTGGCCTGGGTCTTGGCCATGAGGTTTCTCTGTGTCTCAGTTTCCCCAGTTGTAACATGGGGATAACAAGAGGACCCGCCTCATGGGGTTGTTGTGAGGCTTGGAGGAGTGAACAGGACCTGGCACATAGGACTAGATTCTCCTGCCTTCAGAAAGCTGTCCATTTAGATTATGCCAGGTAGCTCAGCCGCTGTCCTGATTCTGAGGAAATCTTGAGGAGACCCCCTGCTTACCTGCCCCTGTGTTTAACAACCACTGAAGACCCTTGCTTAATTCCAACTCCAAACCTCTCACTGGGCAGTTGAAGCCATTTCCTCTCGTGACGACCTTAGCAGACAGCTGGTCACAAACTTTTGGAAAAGAGCCCTCATGATATTCTTCTCCTTCCCTTGCAAATACCTCACACTCTGACTCCTGTCCTCCTGACCTCCTCCTCTTCACTCCTCTCCAGGCTGCTGGTGGCCAGCTGGGGCCAGCGGGAAGATAATCCCCACGTAAGGGCAGGCCCGGTGGTCCTTCCTCGATCCGCCCACCCACCTCCCTTCCTCCCCCGGATGGCCAGCCCACCGACCTGTCTGGTGAGCAGGACAGCTGTGTCGTAGTGCTCTGGGTGGCGGTCGCTGGGCTGGTTGAAATGCCGCTGCCAGCTGCAGAAGTTACGCAGGGTGAGGCCGCCATTGTCGGACACCTCTGGGCCCCACTGTTCATCCTCCACTATCAGCACCTTCACCACCATCAGGTTGATGGCGTTCTTGATGCTGGGGTGCTTGTAGATCCGGGCTGCCACGGACATCAGCGTCAGGATGTGGTTCTGTCAAGGAGGAGGGACAGGTGAGTGAAGGGGGAGACTGGCAGCCCTTGCCTGCCCAGTGCCACCACTGCTTGTTGGGGGCACCGACTGCACGCGTGCCACGCACTGTGCTGGGCATTTTACAGGTAATGCCTCGTGTAAGCCTCACCCAAACCTCTAGACCTCCTCATTACTTCCCTTCATTTTATGTATGAGCAAACCGGGGCTCAGTGACTGGCCTACGATCACAAAGCGAGGAAGTGTAGAGCCAGAATGTGAACCCAGACCACCCGGCTCCAAAGCTTGTGCGTTACACATCGAGACCTGTGCTGTCTCATGGCACAGCCACAAGCCACCAGGAGCTGCTGAAGTCTAAAACGAAACGGACCTAAAATTAAAATTAGGTTGTCAGTCACACTAGCCACGTGCCAAGTGTGTCAACAGCCACACATGGCCAGCGACTACCATAATAGACTGTGAAGACAGAACATTTCCATCAGCACAAGAAGTTCTCTCGGACTCACTGCCTTTTATGCCTTAACCTTGACACCGATTGTCTCCCCACCAACCGGCCCCAGCCCCTCTCCTCCCCAGTCTCAGCCCAGAAGCAATTATCTGAGTGTTCAAGGTTAGTAGAATTTCCCTCTTAGAAACCAGCTGAGCATCTTCCTGTTGTCTGCTGGGGTAACCGCTACTCTTCAGGATGGGGGAGCAACTCAGAGTTGTTAACTCTGGAGCTCTGTCTAATGCTCCCTGCCATCAAAGCGCCTGCACCCTGGGTCTGCACTCTTTCTTTATGTACGTCCCCCACAACAGCTCTGGGAAGTGGGTGCGGTAGTCCCTAGGCTACGAGTGAGGCAGGGGAAGTTCACACAAGTGACGGAACTTGTCTGCGGCCACACGGACCAGGAAGCAAGCACGCCTGTCCAGGGGTGTCTGCGTCGCAAGGCACGCTCCTCCCACTGTGTTTCCCAGGGCTTGGCCTCCTGGCTTCTGCCTGGCTAACCCCTCTGAGGGTTTAGTCTTTCTGCCCGGGGCTTGAAAGAATCCATGGGCCTAGTTTGACTCGGAGAGAATCCCTGGGTGGCTCAAACAGTTAAGAGCTCAGCTACTTGTCTAAAGCGTTGGAGGTTTGAACCCACCCAGAGGTGCCTCAGAAGAAAGGCTTGGCAATACACTTCCAAAAAATCAGCCATTGAAAACATTATGCAGCACAGTTCTATTCTGACATACGTGGGGTTATCATGAGTCAGTACTGATCTACAGCAACTGGTTTGGGATTTCTTTTGGTGATGAGGCCCAGGGGCTGAGGCTCACTCATGCTTCCTGTCCACCCATCACCTCCTGTGGAGGGAGCCTGGATCTCTTGGTCCTATGGCTCCCAACTGCTCCCATGCTGGATTCCAAGGTTTGGGAGGAGGCCAGATTGGGGCTTACTCTCCTGCCTCAGGGACCCCTTGAAGTGAGCCCTCTTGGATTATTGTGCAGAAGCGGGGGAGACAAAGGGGTTGAGCCGGGAAGTGCCTTCCTCCAGGGGTGTGGCCAGTTGAGCTGCCACTTGCCCGCCCTGTCTCTCTGCCCCAGGATACCATCTCCTGTCATCCTTTCTTCTGTCCTGTGGTCCTGAAGGTGGGAGGAGAGGAAAGGAGAAAGGAGGGGAAGACTAGAGATGGACATTCTATTGGGTGAGGCCATGTGTGGGCGTTCCAGACAAATCCCACTATTTGTGAATGGGATCTCTCTGTTCACCTCGCAGGCAAGAAGCCAGGTGTTTTGTTAGCCCTACAAACAGGAGCTGGCAGGGTACTTAGCGTGTCAAGCACTCCAGCTATGTTCAGGCTGATGTAAACATCTTATCAGCAAAGCTAAAACTTGGCATTTGCTCCAGGAGGTGGAATCCTGAGGAAAAAAAGCAATCAGATCATTATGCAACCAGGGGTGAGGGCTTAGGAATGGTAGCTGGCTGAAGTCAGTTCCTGGCCAGGTCTTCACTGCTTCCAGGGGCAAAAAGAGTCTGCTGGGCTCTTGCCTTAGGGAGGGAGAGGGTCTGATGGGCCGGGGTCAATCTCTAGAACTTCTGAGGCAACCTGCAACTCTCCTCACAAGATTTCTCCTCTATGAGCCTCAGTTTCACAGTCTGATAACTGAGCAGGAGAATGTGAGGTGTGAAGACAAGAGATGCCAGCTGCTAAGCCTCAATCCAAGAAGACTCAGCTCAGGTACTGAAGACCTGAGGTTAAAGAATGGGCTGTGTTCCAAAGCAGGGAAGATCAGAGGAGGCTCTCAGGCAACACAGCTGAGCAAAAGACAGCACAACCGCCCTGTCTGCAGTGACACCAAAGGGAAATGAACAACACTGCTGCATGAAGGATAGGTAAGAAGCTAGGAGGAGCTGCCCAACACTAAACATCATAAGGCACGCAATGTTTCAGAGAAGGTCCTTTTTTGTAGTGCAAGGGGGTTCTTGTGATGGTCTTCTCCAGAGACTGTGCGACTGTCAGGCTGAGCTGGCTCGAGGATCATTTCACTTCAAGGAAGTGGGATGGACTTGAGGACACGTTAAGGGCCCTTCCGGTTGCTGTAAAAGTCCCTGGGTGGCACTAATGGTTAAGTGCTTGACTGCTAACTGAAAGGTTGGAGGGTTGAGTCCACCCAGAGGAACCTCAGAAGAAAGGCTTGGTGATCTACTTCCAAAGTCACAGCTATGAAAACCTGTGGAGCACCGTTCTACTCTGATGCACATGGAATCGCCATGAGTTGGAACTGACTCAATGGCAACTGGTTTGGCTTTTTGTTTTTGGTCTGGCTGCTGACGATCTCAGAAGACAATTTCCATTGCAAGAGGGCTGCCAGGACTACATGGTCCACCATTCCTTTTAAAATCCCAGATCTTGGTCCTCTTTACCTCTACTTCCCTCTTGTGTCTCCTGGACCTCTAAGAGACCGGAAGCACTGCCATTCCCACCATCTTCCCCTCAGTCAGCTCTTCTGGAAAACAGTAGCAGGGGTGCCTGATATTTGCAGTGCATTTTACAGTTCACGAGAGGGAAAGTGCCACTGAACCCGGGTGGGGCCGCAGTTCTGTGAGCCACTGATTCTGAGCCAACCCCCTAGGCCAACAGGGCAGGCCTGGCAGAAGTTCCCACGGTGGCAGGCGCAGAGCCAGTCAAGGAAAAGGTCAGATCACTTGCTCCACCATCAGGTGTCTATTTATACCTCCCTGCCCATCACGGGGAGCCCTGGTGGTGCAATGGTTAAGCTATGGCTGCTAACCAAAAGGCCAGTGGTTCAAATCCACCAGCTGCTCCTTGGAAACCCTATGGGGACAGTTCTACTCTGTCCTACAGGGTGGCTATGAGTCGGAATCAACTTGATGGCAATAGGTTTGGTTTTTTGGTTTTGCTCATCACACAAGCGTAGGCTGCTGGCTGAAGACTATGAGCAGAATCATGTCCTCACCTGGTGGGGTGGGGGCCCCAGCACGGGAGACAATGCCCGAAGATCATGTCAGGTTGGTGAATGCCCAAGATTAGTCCAGCCAAGGGTGGTTAAGTAATCCTGCTCTTGAGTAACTCGAGAGCCTCACCCCCTTAAGTCTCTTTAGGGAAAGTAAGAGCATTCTTTGGGAGTCTCCTCCTCTGTTGGTACCCCCAGGATCAGGAAAAATGAAAAACACTCCAGCCAGCTAGGCTGGGACATAACCCTCTTGGATTCTTTGAGCTACAAGCAAGGAGACTTTTCCCACACAGCTCTTGTGGCAGCCAGAGCCAACTACAGTGGGCACCTGAGGACACTGGCCTGGGCCAAGCACATTTCCTGCAGCACCTTCTCCTGCCAGAACTTTCACCCATGATGCTTTGCTTGTGTGTTCTTCACACTGTAGGTTCCACCGTTTTTCCTTGCAGTGCACCTGGGAGAGGCAAGGGTAGGAAGAGTGACACACGGAAATTCTCTGATCTCAGCAACTGGTGCTATGACTTTTCCCTCCTGGAGTCTCTCTTGGGCCAGAGACAATGCTGGGAGGAGGTGGGGCAGGAGCAAAGGAAGAGGAAAGACTGTGATGGGGAAAAGCAAAGGCCGCAGGAGTATCCCTCATCCCTCCTCATTCTCAAAACAGCAAAGGTACACGTCACCTCTCCAGAGCAGAGTCTTATGCAGAGCCACAAGGAGTCAGCCTTAAACACCCACAGTTGAAGCGCGCTGCAAAGGGAAGCATCTCTGCCATGCAGGACTCTGAAGCTGACACGGCAGAGGCTGGTGCTCCGACGGTAGGTGAGTACACTGCCTTCCACACTGACACATGGCTCCCACCGTCAAAGGCAACTACAGTCATAGCCATCTTTTTCTGAGTACCTACCATGTGCCAAGGAGCCCTGGTGGCACTATGGTTAAAAGCGCTTGGCTGCTAACTGAAAGAAGGGAGGTTCGAACTCACCAGTGGTTTCACTGGAGAAACGACCTGGCAATCTGCTCCCGTAAAGACTGTAGCCTAGGAAACCCTATGAGGTAGCTCTACTCTGTCTTTCGGGGTTGCTGTGAGTTGGACCCAACTCAATGGCACACAATAACCATGTGCCAGGGTGCCTGCTTTTGGGTGCTTTCCGTGCTTTATTACATCCTCAAGACCATGCCAGATAACTGGTGTAATTGTTCCTACTTAGCCGATGAAGGAATCGACATCTCGAAAAATAGGCAACTTGCTCAAGGCCACCCAGTTATTTCTAGGTCCCTCCAAAGGCTATGCTCCTAATCACCACACTGACTGCCACCTATCCTTGCTGCAACTGCAGCAGAGTCACGGCCAAAGCAAGCAAGCAAGGGAGCTGGCCCCATCGGAGTCCATGCCCCTCGGGGGAGATGGAGGTGGTGAGATTACCACGTTTTCCTTGGGAAATGCTCCACATCTTTGATCATTCTGATCACTGCAGACACAAGGGATAGGAAAGACTCATTCTTTGGCCAACGGGCAGAACACAATTGACGTGTGTATAATAACACTTGTCTTTCACCCATTGAAGACTCGGGTAGCTATAGAGCTAGTGGGGCACGTACCTATTTTAGGTAGGGTGACTATATAATTTATCATTCAAACAAGGACACTTTTGAGAGTGAAAGGGAGCACTATTAATAATTATGCCAGAACAGGCATAAACTGAGACTGTCCTGGGCAAACTGGGACATATTTTAGTATTAGGGCCTGTGGGAAACATTTTCCCCAGAAGATATGGGCAAGGGGGGGATGAAATGGTTGTAACTTAGCCCTTCCCTGAGGAGTCCTGGGAATCTCCTGGGCTGTGCTGAGGAAGGTGAGTTCCACTCCTAGGACCCTTTCTGTAGGAGGAGAATTCAGAAGCTCATCTCTGGGCTGAGACTACAGCAGGACAGACTTCCCAGATTGAATGGGAGGCTGCCCAGCCTGACACATCTTTCCCGCTCCAGTTTCACCCGGGGTTACAGTTAGCTGCAGCCGGACGCACCTCAGCCTCTTCCAAGATACTACCCTCCTTTCAGAAAGCCGCCTTTGTCTGAGCTGCTTAACTCTGAAACCAGACAAGAAAGTGCGACGTAGGGGCCCCCTTTTGTCAAGGGAGTAAGTAAACTCAATTGTTTTGGAATTCTGGAAGACACAATTGTCGTTCAGCAGTGAGGCCAGCCTCAAGCATGGCTAATTCTTTCTTTGAACCTGAAGGTGGCTGGGTGTCTTTGGGCTGCTGGATTTAATGATCCATTCCCAAAACAGACAAGAGGCAGAGAGTAAACAAAGTCACAGAGTCAGAGACCCTCCTCATGCCGAAGAGGCATCACGGTACAATAAGAAGACACTGAACTCAAAGTCTGGGAGGCTTGGGCTGCAGACCCAGAGCTACCACCTGCCAGCCATGTGACCTTGGGAAAGTCACATCACCTCTGTGAGCCTCACTTTCTTCTCCGTGAGCCCTGCCTCCCTCACAGGTATTCCCACTAAGATGATGAGGGTACAACTACTCTGTAAATTGTATACACCAGAAGAGTGGCTTCCTCACGGAGCACTGAGTCTTGAAGGAGACCACCTCATCAAGAGCAGCCTCACAGACGCTTAGAGAAGAATTGCTGACCTCTTTCAGTTGTCTCCCTTTAGAGATGAGGAAACCCAAGCCCTACAGGGGTTAAAGTCTCTTTTCATCATCACACAGCACTCATTCCTCAATGGCTAGCACACTACAAATGCCTTCCATTTGTGTGAGCAAAGTCTCCAGGAAGCTCCTGGAAGAGTTACAGATAAAGGACTGATTTCTATTTGGACGGGGTGGATCTGGGTAGGACCATGCTGCAGCAGCTACTTGAGGCACCAGGACTTGATTTTCATTCTTTTCTCAGCTGAGCTCATGGACAGTTTCAGGAAGTCCTGGGAAGCGAGCCACAAAGTTCAAGCCTACACTGTATCATCTCCACAGCTGGCGAGATCAGACCAGAGGGGCCAGTGGGTGAGCATAGGAACAGCTGTGTCCAGCCCTTCTCCCACCCCAACATGGTGACATCAGGAGTGGGGGTGGGTCATAGCATAATGAAATCAAGGTGGGAGTGGGGGTGGAGTGGCTAGTCCAGCCCAGAGAGTTTTAAGATCTAGCAGTAGATCTCCTAGGGAAAGGTGCTGATGCCCATTCTGATAAGCTCTCCCCATCCAAATTGGCCGGCTGGGTGCGGAGGTGCCTGGGGGGGACTGTGAATGGTCTAGAAATGTGTGCATGTGGAGGGGCCAGGGGATGGGGCAGTCACAAGCTAGGTGGTAAGCCATGGGTCACTCAAGGGTGGAAGTGCTCCTGGGTCGCTCTGCCACAGAGAAGGCCAGCTTCTTGGATGCAGCCCAACTGCCACTTCAGTGGCTTGGGAACCCTGGAGCCCGGCCCCAAAGCACGTCTACCTCTAGAGGGTTGTGATGGCTGCAGACGCCAAGTATGGCCTTGAGGCACACACTCAGTCTCTCAAGTGCCTAGGTGATGTGCTGAGAGCGAGAAGGTGGCAAGGCTTTAGGGAGGACGTTTTGGCACTGAAGACTGAAACACAATGACTTCTGCTGCTTGCCCCTTTCTCAGCGGCCTTCCGACCTCTTGGTTCTCAGGCTTGTCAGAAACCAGTCTCTGTGTGGGAGAGGGCCCAGTGGTTCAGCTCCCGGTTTGCATGACTACACCTCGACCTTTCTCGTGAAGCCCCCAGGAACCCGGGTCCTGTGGTCCTAACATGAGATGGGAAAAGCCCTCTCCTCACGCCTCTCCTGCCACCCTCCCAAGTATTTGTTGGGGAAAGGCGGAGAAGGCAGGTAGCGGCAGGAAAAACAAATACTAATCACTGTAGACCTAAAGTGGGTGGGGCAGGCTGCCTGAAGTGTCAGAGCTGCCGTGCAGCTCTCGCAGCTCTCGCGGTGCCCTGGGAGGAGGGAATAGCAGGCAGGTGTGCCTGCCGAGGTGAAACCCACCTGTGCATGAGCCAGAAAAGCAGCCAGAGACCTCACCCCCAGGGTTTCCTACTCCCTTCATCGAGAGTCCACCTCCCAGTGACTGCAGGGTGGGGAAGATGGAGTGAGAAACAAGTGCAGACCGCCTCCTTGTCTGGACTATTCTGCACAGGTGACGCCGATGTCCCTGGTGCCTCCACCAACGGGCACAGGCTGAGCCTAGAATAGAATCTTCAGCCAGGGACGCCATCACTGACAAAGTGCTACCCACACTGTAGCGGCTGCTAGGATCCCTTTTCCAGAGAACTAGGGCCCTCTGGGCAGAGCAGTTCTTTACCTGGCACATTTCAGGTTCTCTGCTCCCCATGAGAAGGGAACCCTTACACTTCACCTGGGTCCTTGGGGGAAGTGGTGGGGCTTAGGGTGACAGAGACACCTCCTCCTGGGTCCACCCCATCCTTGAGTCCAGTTAGAAATGGTACAGGAGCATAGGACTCAGTTGTCCTGCCCCAGCTTAGGAGAGAGCTGAGTCTCGGTTAAGAGCAGCTGGGATGGACCAGGTACAGTGCTGGCTCTACCACAAACATCCACTGAAAGAGTTAGCGCCTACTTTCTTCTCCCCCTTTTCCACTGATGCTTCAGTTTCCCCGCGCTGAGCCCCCAGGCAGAAGTTCTACTGCCCTCCCTTCTGGTGCTGGATGCTCGCGCAGCTGCCGCCTGCCAGGGCTGTGGGCCAGGCTGGCAAGGTAGCCCATGCCCCTTGATCACAACCAGCTGGGCACACAGAAGGTTGAGCAGCCCCCTTCCAGGTTCAACCCCCTCCAAACTGTGCCTTTTACTTAGGGCCACTTCAGCGCTGTCCCGAAGGGGAATGAAATAGCCACATCTTTTCAGCCCAGCTGCCTTCCCTTTGGGACCCTGAGACAAGAGAGGGCTGAGGAAAGGGGAATGAGCCTGGTTCTTCTTCCCAAATGTCCATTTTAAATTTCTGTTGGGAGACAGGTGCCTGGGGTGCTCTCAAATCCCCTCTCAGCTCAATCAGGCTGAGTGCTACAGGGGATTTGGAATGCGGGGGTCAGGGAGAGGGCAGAGAGGAGGACGCGCCAGGACCGTCACTACATTGGAAGGGCCGTTGAGGATGGGGCGAGGTAGCTCGCGTGGTGAAGGTAAGAAGGGAGTCGTGGCGCTTTCTCAGAAAGGAGGGAACCTGTTTGGGGTTAGGCTGGAAGGGCGAGGAACGTGAAGGGTTTTCTCAGGGGGATTGGGGAGGGAAGAATTTGGAGACGCTGGGAGGCGTCGGGGGACCTCCAGGCGAGGCGACTGGGGAAGGCTCTCAGAGTCTCCTACCTGCAGGTCGGCCCCATAGAAGGCAGCCATGGACGCATCGGCCACCAGCAACGTCTCCACGAAGCGAGCCTCGGACACAAACCGCTTGCTTCTACTCGTGGCCCCCAGAGGAGGTGGGAGCTCGCTGGCGCCGTCTGCTTCCTCTTCGTCGGTGCCCTCCTCCTCCTCCTCCTCCTCTTCCTCCTCCTCGCGCTCGTCGTCGTCTCTCCCCGGCCTCGGCCACTCTCCCCTCTCCACCTCCCACTCGGGGGCCGGAGGGCGGGGGCGGCCGTCGGCGGAGCGGGGCCCCCAGCGCAGCAGGCGGTGCGGCTGGCTGAGCGAGCGCCCCGCGCCCTGCGGCTGGATGGTGAACTCCTCGCCCGCTAGCAGGAAGGAGCCGCTCAGGCCGCGGCACAGGCTCACGGCCGCCAGCGACCCCGGCTCGCCGTCCACCGTGCCCGAGAAGAAGCAGTCGCGCAGCCGCGCCTCGCCGCCGGCCGGCCCGCCGGGCTCCCCGAGGTGCTGGATCTTGAAGCCGGGCGCCAGGAAGCTGGCGTCGGGCGCCAGGCGCAGCACGAAGCCCCTGCCGAAGGCGGACAGGTGGAGCGCCAGCTCGCCCTCGCCGCCCGGCCACCGC